GGGCTCGCACAGGTCCGGCCTCGTTCCAGATGGCATCAGTGCCGCACGCGCGGTTGTGTTCACTGTAGGTCCGGACACTGAACGGGCATCCCGTGTTCCTCTTCGTAGCCAGCGTCATGACCAGAGAACGGTGGGTAAGCGTGGCTCCTTTGAGCTGACTCCAGGACAAGCTCACCTATGTCCAAGGGTAGCATTCTTTCTGTGGGAAAAGGATCTGCACTCTTGATTGCATTTAGAGTCTAACTATGAAACAAGTAAATATCCTTTTTCCTGTGCAGGGTTCGAGTCCCATGAGAAGCAGGACAAAGAATGTGACAGATGGAGCCAAAACATCACGGTTATTAAGAAGCTCATTTGGACGGCATGGCCTGGGGCTTCCCAAGATGGAGGAATCCTTACCTTCCCGGGCACAATCAGCAGTCCTGCGCCCGGGGTCTCTGCGGTGAGCGTTCCCGTTTAACTCTCCTGGGCTAACTCACCCCACGTCACTCAGGCAGAACCAGAGGATGTGTGGAGAGCCCAGGCGCATGGCAGCAGGGAGGGAAGCATTTACATGGTCACGCTAAACTTCTTGGAAGCACCGAGAAGTGCGGTGTCCACTGTCCCGGCGGTGCTGGAATGCTGGGGGCCAGCAGGGGCAGAGAGAGCAGAGGGCACGAGAGAGAGCGGGGCTGCCTCATGCTTTGAGGACGGCCAGACTTCCTTGTTTGTCCCTGGGGTTTTCAGATAAGGCCAGAGACAAGTCAGGAAGCCAGGTGCGTGACCATCCTTCACCCCTCCCTGGCCGTGATCTCCCATCCACAATCAGCAGGTGAGTGGACTAGAAAGCTATGGTAAACACTGACGTGGTGGCAAGGCGGTGTCATTAGCAGATGTCCATGACAGCATTGTGCCCTTGATGTCTCAGGCCCAACCCGGGATCCAGCAGTGGGCCCTTGCTGGTTTAGGAGATAGGACTTGGGAATCCTGCATCTGATATTGTACACCTGATTCTGTGACCTCAGGCCACTTTTTCAGTTTTGCTAGATTCCTGGCTAAACATTTATAAAGTAAAAAGGAAGAAAATGTTTGCAATGCATGTTTAAAGAACTTTTTTAGCTCAAAAACATGAAGACAACTAACTGAATTTTTAAAAAAGATTTGTTTGAAAGGCATAGTTACAGAGAGAGAGCTTCCATCTGCTGGTTCACTCTCCAAATGGCTACAGTGATCAGGGCTGGGCCAGATTGAAGCCAGGAGCTTCCTCCAGGTCTCCCACATGGGTGCAGGGGCCCAAGGACTTGGGCCATCTTTTACTGCTATCCCAAGCACATTAGCAGGGTGCTGGATCAAAAGTGGAACATCTGGGACTTGAACTGGTGCCCATATGGGATGCCGGCATCACAGGCGGCAGCTTAACCCACTAACCACAATGCTGGTTCCAAGTAACTGAATTCTATAGTGGGTAAATTATTTGAACAGATACTTTACAAAGCAAGAGATATGTCTGGCTGATAAGCATATGAAAAGATGTTCAACACTGTATGCCATCAGGAGATTCAACTTAAAACAGAAATACCACTATGTACCAGTGGGAATGGCTAACATGACACAAACTGACAACATCTGTTGGCGAAGGATGGAGAATAAGCAGAACTCTCATTCGTGTAAATGGTACAACAACTTAGGAAAACAATTGGTAGTTTACTCAAATGTGAAACATACACCTAACATCAATATAGCTGTTCTACTCTAAATAGTTACCCAAGGGAAATGAAAGCTATGTCCACACAAAGACTTCCATACAAGCATTCATTATACTCCTTTTTTTAAAAGATTTATTTATTTATTTGAAAGGCAAAAAGAGAGAGAGAGAGGGAGAGAGAGAGAGAGAGAGAGAGAGAGTCTTCCATCTGCTGGTTCACTCCCCAAATGGCCGCAACTGCTGGAGCTGAGCTGATCTGAAGCCAGGATTCAGGAGCCAGGAGGTTCTTCGGGATTTCCCACGTGGGTACAGGGACCCAAGTACTTAGGCCATCTTCTACTGCTTTCCCAGGTGCATGAGCAGGGAGCTGAATGAGAAATGGAGCAGCTGGGACTCAAACCAGTGCCCATATGGGATGCTGGCATCACAGGTGTTAGTTTAACCTGCTACACCACAACACCGGCCCTGATTACACTTCTTTTTGTGGTAAGAAACAGAAAAATTCAAATGTTCTTCAATAGATGAATTGATAAATATTTTATACATCAGTACATTTATGTTTTAATTGTTTTATTTACTATTTATTTGAAAGGCAGAGAGAGAGAAAGAGAGAGATTTTCCACCCCTGCTGGTTCACTCTAATGGCTGTAACAGCCCAGGCTGGGCCAGGCAGAAGCCAGGAGCCAAGACTCCCTTGTGGTCTCCCACATGGGCCAGCATCCACTGCCTTCCCAGGAGCATTAGCAGGGAGCTGGGTCAGAAGTGGAGCAGCCAGGACTCAAACCAACACCCTGATTTGGGATGCCAGTCTCTCAAGCAGCAATCCAACCCACTGCATCCCAACACCAAGCCCTACACTGATACATTTATACAATGGAATACTATTCAGAAACAGAATTCTAATACACACATCAGTGAATCTCAAAATGATCATGCTGAATAAAAGAAACCAGACCAAAACTACCCCAAACCAAAGCAAGCAAAACACAGGACATTTGTGTGATTGCACTTATATAACATTCTAGAAAATTGGAACTAACTTGTAGTGACCAAAAGTGGGCCACTGGCTGCCCAGGATTGGGAGTGACGGGAGGGATGGACCACCACATCCAGGAGAAACTTTTGGGTGTGGCGGGAATGTAATGATTGTAACAGTGTTTTCACATGTCTACACGAGCCATTGAAAGCTGTTGAATTGTATGGTAGTTTATTGATATAAATCATATCTCAATAAAATTAAAAAATAATGAATAAAACAGGCCTTTATTTAAATCCTGGAGCCAGGAGTCATTCAAGCTAAGAATAGCACAGCACAATATAATGGGCCTTGAAAGTGTCTTTGCTTTGGAAAAAGTGAAAATAGGCTTCTCAGCTGTAAAATAACAAATCCCTACTCCTACTCTTGAATGGAGACTTTGGAACAATAAGGAGCTAACTTTCTGGGTAATAATATAAGAAAACAAAATTGTGATTCCTAAAGTCAGAGTTAACATCATGGCTAAAATTCACACAGTATTATTGCTTGCTATGTCTCTGGCTGGGTCTGGACTCAAAGGGGAAGGACTTCGTTGAGAAGAACCTAACCCAGGGACTGGAATTTGGCCCAGCAGTGAAGAACTCAGGTTAGAAGGCCCACATCCCATGCACGAGCTCTGGGTGCAAGTCCTGGCTTCCCTTCCAATCCAGCTTCCTGCTACTACACACCCAAGGAGGCAATAGGTCATGCCTCAGACAGCTGGGTCCCGCCACCCACTCCACCTGGGTGGAGTTCCTAGGTCCTGGCTTTGGACCCTCTCCTGGGTCCATTGCAGATATGTGGGAGTCAACTAGCAGATGAGGTGGGTCTTTCCCTCTCTGTCTCTCAGCCTCTCAAATAATTTTTTAATGGAGAAGACCCTAACCAAGTGATGAAGCTGTTTCCTGAAACAGAGAGGTCAGGCGCTGAGCAACGAGGGGCCGGGGGGTGGGGGACTGAGAAGCAGAGCATAGCAGTGAACAGCCAGAAGTAGATCAAATAGCCGTTTTGAGTCTTCCCATGTTGCCTGGTGCTGTGGGCCAGCAGGTTAGGTCGCTGTTTGCCATGCCAGCATCCCTACTGGAGTGCCAGCTCAAGCCCTGGCTGCTCTGTTTCAGATCCATGTCAACGTATCTGGGAAAGCACCAGGAGACGACCCAAGAACTTGGGCCCCTGCCATCCACAGGGAAGACCCACATGGAGTTCCAGCCTCCTGGCTTTGGCCTGGTGCAGCACTAGTTGGTTGCCACCATTTGGGGAATGAACCAGCAAATGGAAGATACTTCTCTGTGTCTGTCTCTCTGCTTCTGTCTTTCCCTCTGTTTGCTCTGCCTTTCAAGTAACTGTTTTCCTTAAAAAAGTCTTTTCCCCACCCACCCCTCTTTTTTTATTTTTTAAAAAAGATTTTATTTATTTATTGGAGAGGTAATGTGAGAGAGACAGACAGAAAGAAAGGTCTTTCATTTGCTGGTTCACTCCCCAAATGGCTACAATGGCCAGGGCTGGGCTGATCCAAAGCCAGGAGCTTCTTCTGAGTCTCCCACAGGGGTGCAGGGGCCCAAGCACTTGGGTCATCTTCTGCTGCTTTCCCAGTCCATTAGCAGAGAGCTCGATGGGACGAGGAGCAGCTGGGACTCAAACCAGCACCCCTCTGGGATGCCGGCACCGCAGACAGAGGCTAGGCTTACTATGCCACAGCACCAGCCCCACTTTAGTCTCCCCATTTTCTATGTTGTATTTTCACCAGTCTCCCACAGCCTTTAGTACAATGAGGTTAAATTCTGTGATTTGATGTTTACAGTCGGCGGGGGGGTGGTGGTGGTGGTTCTCTGGCTGTGTCTATGTGCGCTGCTATGTGGCGAGCCATGGAAGCCTGGAGCTGTGAGTGCAGAGCTGCTGGGAATGACCATCAGAGAGTCCCCAGGTGGTCCCAGCACAAGGAGACGCAGCCAAGCAGCAAACAGTCTAAGGACACAGGTGAGGACTCCCAGGGGTGCTCAGATCAGCTGCAGGTGGCTGGGTTTCCGTGGCTCCACTGTGGGTACGCGGAGTACAGACGATGTCACTGAGCATTTACAGGGAAGGTAGTAGCCTGGGGACATCCGGGAAATAAAGAGATTAGCCAAGCTCACCCACAAACAACCTCATGAGGATACTTGAGATATCTGGAGTTATTCTGGACTTTGAGCCAGAAAAATAATCCATTAGGCCAACTTCCAGATGAACAGCTGGGGAAAGTCCCAGTGTAGGGCCCAATCCTAACTACTAATTGCCTTTGGCAATTTTGACGTCATGAATGGCTGGACTTTGAACCTGAAGGAGAGTTAAAGCCAAATGCAGTGAGGGAAGGAAGTCATTTCCTCCTTGGATTTCCCAGCAAGAGCGACAGAGATGAAAGCCTCTATTCTTCTTCCTCTTCTCGCTCTCCTTTTTGCAAGCGTGGGTAAGCAGCACTTTTAACTTTCATTGTTCTGCTTGTGTTTGTTGTCTTTGAGACATGGCCTGACGTGGACAAATCAGGTATATCCTCCAACTTAGCATGAGGATGCATGCATTTTTGTCTGGGACGGGGGAGATAAAGAGGTCTGTGGACCAAGACGTGGGGGTTCAGCAAACCCAAGGTTTCCAAGGTTTGCCTTGGGAGGTTCCTAAGATCGAATAGGGACCATAGAGTTCTGGACCTCTCCTTGTGAAAACCAGAGAACTGGCCTCGGGACAAAGCTCTCCTTTAGGTCAGGCACTTGAATTGAGGATTGGTCGTGAAGCTCCTCAGCCCTGTGCTGTCTCGGGAGTGCCTGGGGTAAGGTCATCTGTATAAGTGAAGGCCTTTGAGCTGCAAAGTGGAAGTTGTCTACAGAAAGGAATGAAGTGTTTGATAAGACAGATGTACAGAGAAAGAGAAGCCATTTATAGAACCAGAGTGGGGGAGGTGGGGACTTGAGTTTTTGAAAAATGGCTTTTAGTTCCTACTAGAGGGAGGGTCAGAGAAGACTGCCCTTACAGTGGGGGTGGGGCTCGCCAGCTCTCCCCTGTCAACCCTGGGAGCAGGGGTCATGGCCAGACCTTCAGCTGCAAGTCAGCATTGGTGAGGTTGGTGTGGCTTTCAGGAGCCACTGCTGAGAAAGAGTTCTGTGAGATCCAAGACAAGAAGGGTTGCTGGGAAGCGAAGATTTGACTGGAAGAGGACAGGGAGGTGGACGGAGACCTGGAAATCGGGACTCACAGAGCCTCTGGGTACCTTAGGGAAGCGAGGAGGCTGTCTCCTGTCCCAGGAAACCCAGGGGGGAGGCAAGCTACTCAGTGGGGAGCAGGCGGCCGAGCTCATGCCTTGGCTCAAGTACTGTGTCATCAGGCCGTGGCCGAGGGGGGACTCTGAGCCTCAGTTTCCCCCTTTGTGCCAATAGTGCAGCTGATGAGTGATCGAGGAGTAAATGAGACCAAGTGGGCTCTGGCCTGGCACCTCGTAGCTGGAGTTCAAAAATGGCTTTCCCTCAACGCCTTGTTCTTTGTCTGCACTTGTGTCCAATTTTTACACTTCCGTTTTCTTTTGTTCTCCTTTGTTTAAAAAAGTTTTACAAGGAATGCAGACCCTTTGTAACAGATGCAAACAGTACAGATGTGTGAGAAATAAGTGGGAGCACCCCCCCCCCGCCCCCGTCCTAGCAGCCCCTCCCAGAGGGACTGCTCCCGCAGGTTGGTGGCTAGCGAGGTCTCCTTTTTGGTTTTGTTCTTTTTTTTGGGGGGGGGGGGCGGCTCTTTTCCTGTGGAATTTTAGGAGTTGTTCAAGTGTGTGTAAGGAAGGACTGTTTCAAAACCGAGTTCCATTTCAGGGTCTTAGAACCAGGGCAGGAGTGTGTTTGGTACATGTGTACGTGCACTCCCCCTCCTGGCTTGCATAGCACCGGGCTGTATATCATTCCTCATAGGTGTTTGCTGGGAAAAAATGGAAAATGTGCAGGTGGTGTTCAAAGTCGCTTTCACAAGCAAAACCTCCAGGTTGTTCTTCCTTTCTCTGAGGTGAGGGCCACTGTATCCTGCAGCAGCCGATGGCTTCCTCTGCGAACCATCTCATGATATTGAAGAGTGTAGACCTGAACACAGGCGTTCCTCTGTGGCCCTCAGCTAGCTTTGATCAGAGCAGCTCCCGATGCTCTCTGGCCAGGCCCGGTGTCCAGAAAGCAGGCAGACCACGGCCTTTTCTTCCCACTTGAGCCCATGGTTCCTACCCGCCATGGGTGCCCCTCCTGGATGTCCCCCACACCCCTGTGTTGTTTAGAAGCCCAAGGCTTGTGGAAACAAAGGCCTTAGAGCTGTTTTCACTATTCTGATGCCTTAATATATTTCTGTGGACTATAAATTGAACAGACTAAATTATAATTCCTCTGGGCCTTTTCACTACATGATGTAAGCCCTGAAAATCTGCTATAAATTGTCTTCCCTGAAATCGGTACAACCCTCAGATAACACAGACAGGGACACACACACACATGCATGCTCACACATCTATATTTTAGTTTTTAAAAAACAAACTGGGGCCCGCACTGTGGCATAGTAGGCTAGCCTCCACCTGTGGGGCCAGCATCCCATACGGGTGCCTGTCTGTTTGTGTCCTGGCTGCTCCACTTCCGATCCAGCTCTCTATTGTGGCCTGAGAAAGCAGCAGAAGTCCTTGGGCCTCTGTACCCACGTGGGAGACCTGGAAGAAGCTCCCGGCTCCCAACTTCAGATTAGCACAATTTCGGCCATTGCGTCCATTTGGGGAATGAAGAGTAGATAGAAGACCTTTCTCTGTCAACCTCTCTGTCTATAACTCTCTCTCAAATAAAGAAAAAAAATCTTAAGGAAAATAAAACCAAATTGTACCATTCACAGCAATGAATCACTGTCAGCTTGGGATGCGTCCCATTTATTCAAATGAAGTAAGCATTCTTTTTAAATTTTTAAAAAACTGTTAATTTATTTACTTGAAAGGGGGGAGAGCCGGCACCATGGCTCACTAGGCTAATCCTCCGCCTTGCGGCACCGGCACACTGGGTTTTAGTCCCGGTCGGGGCGCCGGATTCTGTCCCGGTTGCTCCTCTTCCAGGCCAGCTCTCTGCTGTGGCCTGGGAACGCAGTGGAGGATGGCCCAAGTGCTTGGGCCCTGCACCCGCATGGGAGACCAGGAGAAGCACCTGGCTCCTAGCTTCGGATCAGTGCAGTGCGCCGGCCGCAGTGGCCATTGAGGGGTGAACCAACGGGAAAAGGAAGACCTTTGTCTCTCTCTCTCTCTCTCTCTCTAACTCTGCCTGCCAAAAAGAAAGAAAAAAAAAAAAAAAAAAAAAGAAATGGGGAGAGAGAGAAAGAGAAGGAGGGATATCTGGTTCACCCCCAAATAGCTGCAACAGCCAGGGCTGGGCCAAGCCAAAGCCAGGAGCCTGAAATTCCATCCAATCCCAGTCTCCCACAAGGGTGCAGGGGCCCAAGCACTTGAACCATCTTCCACTGCCTTCCCACATGCATTAGCAGGGAGCTGGATCAGAAGTGGAGCAGTCAGGATACCAGCATTGCAGGCAGCAGCTTAACCTGCTGCACCACAACACTAGCCCAAAGTAATCACTTTTTAAAAATATTTATTGGGGCCGGCGCTGTGGCTCACTTGGTGAATCCTTCCTGCGGCGCCGGCATCCCATATGGGCACTGGGTTCTAACCCCGGTTGCTCCTCTCCCAGTCCAGCTCTCTGCTGTGGCCCGGGAAGGCAGTGGAGGGTGGCCCAAGTGCTTAGGCTCCTGCACCCACGTCAGAGACCAGGAAGAAGTACCTGGCTCCTGGCTTCGGAGTGGCGTAGCGGCCATTTGGGAGGTAAACCAACAGAAGGAAGACCTTTATCTCTGTCTCTCTCTCTCACTGTCTAACTCTGTCAAATAAATTTTAAAAATAAATAAATAAAGGTATTTATTTATTTCAAAGGCAGACTTAGAGAGAGAGAGAGAGAGAAAGAGAAAGATCTTCCATCTGCTGGTTTACTTCCTGGCTGCAGCAGCTGGGACTGGGGCAGGCCAAATCTGCCAGGCACGTTAACGGGGAGCTAGATTCAAAGTACAGTAGCCGAGACTGGAACTGGCTCCTGTATGGCGCTTAACCTGTTACGCCACAATGACAGCCCCCCAAAGTAAGCATTCTTGAATGCAATCTCCCTAGCAAACAGAAATCCAGGGCCCAGTGCTGTGGCTTAGCAGGTAAAGCTGCTGCACACAGCGCTGGCATCCCATATGGGCGCCAGTTCGAGTCCTAGCTGCTCTACTTCCTATCCAGCTCTTTGCTATGGCCTGGGAAAGCAGTGGAAGATGGCCCAAGTCCCTGGGCCCCTGCACCCATGTGGGAGACCTGGAAGAAACTCCTGGCTCCTGTCTCCATCCTGGCTCATCCTTGACCATTGCAGCCATTTGGGGAGTGAACCAGCAGATGGAAGACCTCTCTCTCTCTCTGCCTCTCCTTGTCTCTTTGTGTAACTCTGACTTTCCAATAAATAAAATAAAATCTTAAAAAAAAAAGAAATCCAGAAAGCAAGGTAGACAAGCCATCAGGTCCAAGATCGATCCCAGCGGCCTACATTAAAACTGTTCAGAAGTCCCAGTTAGCTGTGTTTGTATCTACAGGATTCTGTGGGTTATGTGGCAACAGCAGAGATGAAGCAGGAAACTCAAAGTTGGGTGGGTCAAGGACATTTGCACTCATGTCCTGCCAGGCCTTCTTCTGTCCAGGATTTTCTATGGCTTGGGTCAGCCTCTGGCTGCCCTGAGTGTGGCCCCCATGATAGAAGACACCGTGGAGGTGACTCCTGCTTCCACGGCCTCATTCTGAACCCACAACCCTGTGCTTTCTGAGTTAGCTCCTCTGGCCTCCTCCACAGCTCCCTACCCGAGCTGCAGTTAAAACACTGGCATTGCACAGTCTTGACTTTGCTTCTGGACAGATCCTTCAATCTGAGTATTGGCGGACTCCCCCCTTCAACTGTGGGTGCTCATGTCTCTTGCACAGGTGCTGTGGGCTACAGGGTAAGCGCTTTGGCCAAGGAGAACCACAGCAGAAGAGCGGTTGCAGTAGTCAATGCTTGCAGCTGGGGGACTGTTTTGCAGCCCAGCAGAGCCCTGTGTGTCTCTTCCACACCTCTGAATGCTAGGCAACCCCACTCCGCCCGTAAGGGACCCAGGCCTCTAGGGAGACCAGCCAGCTTCTTCAGCAGTCCGTGGTACCCTGTGTTTATGAATTGCTTCCTGTCTACAATATTTTAATATTTGGTTTTTAACCATTTGTCAGTGTCAGAACTCTCAGAGACAATTAAGGATTCTAGACAGTGGGTCACTGGATCAGTTAAGATTTTTCTGCTCTGTGTGTCCTAGGAGTTGTGAAAATGCAGCTTGGATGACACCGTCAGACTTAGGACGACAATAATTTATCTTCTTTTAAAAGCCCGCATGTTGAGAATTGTTAGTGGGTGGAAGCTACTAGAAAAACAGTTTTGGAAAAAGTTTAATAAGCCCTTAGTGAAGTATTTTTAGTTCATCATTCCTTAAACTATTACCCCTAATCTTCTCCTCCCTCAATCCAGCAACAGAAACAACTGACATTTAATGGAAAATCGAGGCCGATGTCTTACGGTGTAGAGACCAAAGGAATCTGCTTTCTGGTGGTAATAGCACCACCTTGTGGCATTTAATTTTATTTATTTACTTTTACTATTTGAAGGGCAGAGAGGCAGAGGTTTCCAGTTTGCTGGTTCATTCCCCAAGTGCCCCCAACAGCCAGGACTGGGCCACAAGTCAGAAGTCAGAGGCCCAGACTCAATCTGGTCTCCCACGTGGGTGGGAGTGACCCCAGTATTTGGACCCCGACCTGCTTCCTCACAGGGAGTGCGTGGGCAGGAAGCTGGCGTGGGAGAACCCATGCGCTCTGACTGGGGATGTGGGCGCCCCAAGCAGCATCTTAACTGCAGCACGGGCACCAGTCTCGCTTTGTGGCGTCGCCCCGTTGTCTCCTCTAAGGAACAGGAAGTCTAGACCTGCAGCTCTGCAACTGGAGGCACTCGTCTCAGTCTTGGTACTTATCTTAATAAGCATTAACTCTATTTCTCATGTTTCTCAATAAACACCCTTCAGTTTTATCTGTTTAATTTTTAGTTTTATTTGTTGCAGGTTTTTCTGTGTATGTTTTGCAGTAGTCATGTGTTTTCATTTTTAAGATAGTCATAAGGGCCAGCATTGTGGCGCCACTGATTTGAGTCCCAGCCGCTCCACTTCTGATCCAGCTCCTTGCTAAGGCACTTGGGAAAGCAGGGGAAGGTGGTCCAAGTGCTTGAGCCCCTTCCACCCAGGTGGGAGACAAGGTTGGAGTTCCAGGCTCCTGGCTTCAGCATGGCGCAGCCCCAGCTGTTGTGGCCATTTAGGGAGCGCATCAATAGATGGACCCCGCCCCAGTCTCTGACTCTCTGCCTTTCAAATAAATAAATAAATAAATCTTTTTAAAAAGTCATATACATTCATTTGACTCAGTTGATTACTAGTTGGTGTTAAGTAATAGTAACTGACACTATTTATTCAAGGTATTGCCTTCTGAAACTTGGTATCTTTGTTTTTCCAGCCATCAACCAAAACAGCATGGCTGCAGCTAGCAACCCAACAAGTATAGCTGGTTCCCGAAACTCCATGGGTGTCATCATGGACTCCTCTCCTTCCGGCCCGGGCCCCGGCAACACCAGAGATCCTGGCAACTCCACGGAGCCCAACAACACCACGAACCCCGACAACACCACAAACCCCACTCCTCCGGTCCCAGGCCCCAGCAGCCCCACGAACCCCGACAACTCCACCAACCCCGACAACACCACCAACCCCACTCCTCCGGTCCCAGGCCCCAGCAGCTCCACGAACCCCGACAACTCCACCAACCCCGACAACACCACCAACCCCACTCCTCCGGTCCCAGGCCCCAGCAGTTCCACGAACCCCGACAACTCCACCAACCCCGACAACACCACCAACCCCACTCCTCCGGTCCCAGGCCCCAGCAGCTCCACGAACCCCGACAACTCCACCAACCCCAGCAACACCACCAACCCCACTCCTCCGGTCCCAGGCCCCAGCAGCCCCATGAACCCCGACAACTCCACAAAGGCTACAACTGTTAGCAGCACAACTGCTGGTAATGTATCAACCACAACTGTTTCCCCACCTCCCAGTACTCACATCAGCAAAGCACATTCCTCAGGGGACTGTACCCGGGTGGCGAACATGCAGCCCAGGCAATCATTTGGTGCGGTCTTGCCAAGGCAGGCTCGGGTGGGATTCCAAATTCAGTAAGTCTGGACCCCTCTGATTTTTAAGTTGATAATTTTGAATGGCCCACTTTTAAATTCAAATGGCCCTCGGCAGAAAAGAAAGTTCCCTACCTCTGCTGGGCCCTGTGACGTCAGTGACTGCCAGCAGCCCAAACAGCGGAACCACAGGTGAGAGGCGGTTCCTCAGGTTGCTCACCAAGTGCAGGCCAGCAGGTGGGGGTGTTCCGGTGCAATAGGAGAGGAGTTCATGGATGTGTATGGTGGACTTACACTCTGAGTCACAAAGGCTAGCAGTGGTGGCAATGACCTTGAACCATTACTTCAGTTCTGCTCTCCTTTCCTTCCCACCCATCCCACCCCAAACTATTCCCCAGTGTTCATTTTGTGAGCGCCACCTTTTCTCTCTTCCCTCTAACTAGCGGACTTCTAGAAATAGGTCAGTGTCTCTGAGAACAGGTCTAACTGAGCACTGACTCTCCACTCGACTGGCCCAGCTCCCTGGTCTACCCTAAGGTTAAGACGATGGCTGATCACAGTTTGGAACATGAACCAACTCATGGAATTCAGGCCTGAAGGAACAAAAACCAAACAATAGCAGTGCTCAAGCCGGTCCTAGGCAGGACAAGGGCCATTGTCCAAAGGACACATCTTTTGGGAATATTATCTAAAAACAATTAATCTCGAGTTGAGTTATTGAAACACAAACCAGTTGTGTCTTTTCCCTAAGTCTGTTCTAAAACAGAGCCCCGCAAACTTTATCAGTGGAGACTGAATACTATCTCAGGTCTTACGGGCTACTTAGAGTCTGTTGCCAGTGATCTACTGTCATTTTTTAATAGCAGCCATCGTCAACATACAAATGAATGAACCTGGCTGTGTTCCAATAAAACTTTATTTACAGAAACAGAAGTTTGGTTAGATATGCATGAGCCACGGTTTGCCAATCCCTGGTCTAGAAGAATCCTCAAACCTAAGAGCTTGGGAATGTAGATAACACAGGTCCTGCTCAGACGAGGAGGTGAGGGCAGTGAGATGGAGCTGGTGTCTCTCACACACACCTCTGAGCTCTGCCCCAGTGTTCTTGGACAGATCTTAGAAATACACGGTTAAGCAAATAGCCCAAAGCCTGTGTCAAATCTTCTTTCATATCTGAAGGGACCGCTCTGAAGCCTCGGTCAGACGGATGCAGCTACACAATCAGCTCCACTAGCACCAGGAAAGGGAGCGTTTCCAGGTCACGGCTGCCTCCCAGACACTCTCAGAATAAGGCCGCCTTCCCGAGGCCTGGCCCTACCACCAGCTGTGGGGCATGGGGCAGATCAGCAAATCCCTTCCAGCTGTGATATCCTGTTAACCAGTTCCCGGCTGCAGTGAGCTGTGAGCCTGTTCTTCATTGCTCAAGGGAAAGCTCACCAAGAGTTCTTTGGTGTCTTCCAGAGGGAAGCTGCACTCAATTTCTTCTCTAGAATTTTCCAGATCATCGGGGTCTACATCTAGGTTTGTAAGACTCTTAAGATAACTCTTAAGGTGGTCACCCACTTAAGCAACTCTGGAATCAAGACTCAAAACCACTTCATTTGACGGAGCTGAAGCAAATGACTCAGCAGGCTCCAGCCCTGAACTTCCCTCCCCCAGTCCCGTCAGCTCTTGGAGAGGGAAGATGCTGAACTCTGTCCGCCCCAGGAGTCTCAGCCGGTGATGTGGCAGCCATTGCAGTTTTATTTTCCCTGTTCAACTCGATCACTCAGAAAGCCAGAGGCTACAGTGACCCCCATGACCTCCTCTCTGCCCTTGTGGGGCTAATCCACATTCTGTTTTTTGCTAAGCTTTCCCCTTTCTTCAGGAATGAGTATTCTGTGCATGGCAACCAGAAAGTGACATCTCCTTTCTTTGAGGTGCTTCTTAGCTGCCCTTCTGTCTAGGAACATTATTCAGAACTTCTTATAAGAAAAAATAAGACCTTCTCTCCAGTGGTGTTAGAAGACCAGGCATCAAGGTTATGGAGGGTCCTTGGGGGTTGGAAGATTCCTGACTCCATGGAATCAGAGGCCTCCACATTTTTTTTCCCCTGAGCGGGTTCTCGTCCACCCAGCTCTGACCTCTACTGTTGAAAGAGACTCAGCTCTAGAATTTCTGCAACAAACTCCCTAAGACATATGAAAGTGTGTGTTGGTTTCTAGTTCTTAGGGCACACTGTGGAGTAACACAACCTGGGGGGTTGGAGGGGCCCCATTGAAAAATATGCTTCCAGGTGTTGTCATTTCTGCAAATTTATAATCTCTTTTTGCCCCACCTAAGGTCCTAGAAATCCTTGCAGAGACAATCCCTGTGATGGTAGTTCTTCATGTGTGGCCTTGTATGATAGGCATTTTTGCCTGTGTCCTGAAGGATATTACTATCACTCACTAACATGCATGAAAGGTGAGTGACACGGGATGAACCATGACAGAGCTGTCTCTCACATCTAAAGGGGAGGAGAAACCGAAAATGATGGCAAAAAGAAACTGCAGATTATTAGGAGGGAAGTTGGGGCAGCATAGTGCAATGAGGTGTTGAAAAGTCTCTGCCTTTGTCCCGCTGAAGCCTCAGGCGCGAGGAGGGGGGCCAGTTTGTGAGCGAGTCCTGAGGGTGTAGAGAGGCTGCGTGCACCTGAGAACCACACAGAGGAGTCAGGAGACAGGAGACGCTGCGACCAAGGGTGATGTGCTGGGGGCCTGGTCTTCCGCCCTGGGTGCACTTCTCCCTCAGGGGATGTGCCCACATTAATAGCACACCCCGCTTTCTTTTTTTTTTTAAAGATACACTTTCTTTTTTTTATTTTTTAAAGAGTTACTTATTTATTTGAGAGGTAGAGTTATAGACAGAGAGAGGGAGAGACAGAGAGAAAGGTCTTCCATCTGCTGGTTCACTCCCCAGATAGCCACAATAGCTGAAACTGGGCTGATCCAAAGCCAGGAGCCAGGAGCTTCTCCAGGGTCTCCCACGCAGGTGCAGGGGCCCAAGTATTTGCACCATCTTCTGCTGTCCCAGGTGCACTAGCAGAGAGCTAGGTTGGAAGACAAGCAGCTGGGACTTGAACTGGCACCAATATGGAATGCTGGCACTGTAGGCAGCAACTTTCCAGCTATGCCACAGCGCCAGCCCTGGCATTATTTCTTATTCAAAGGGCTATTACAAAGTTAAAATCGTGCCAGTACCGCAGCTCACTAGGCTAATTCTCCACCTGCAGCGCCGGCACTCTGGGTTCTAGTCCCGGTTGGGGCGCCGGTTCTGTCCCAGCTGCTCCTCTTCCAGTCCAGCTCTCTGCTGTGGCCTGGGAACGCAGTGGAGGATGGCCCAAGTCCTTGGGCCCTGCACCCGCATGGGAGACCAGGAAGAAGCACCTGGTTCCTGGCTTCTGATGGGCGCAGGCACCAGCCGTAGTGGCCATTTGTGGGGTGAACCAATGGAAAAGGAAAACCTTTCTCTTTCTCTCTCACTAACTCTGCCTGTCAAAAAAAAAAAGATAAAATCATAAGATAAAGTATCATTTTCTAATTTTGTTTTATTTCAAATTTTATAAATGTTTACTAAGCACACAGCAACTGTGCTGTTTTGTCGCAATGAAGTTATCCCTTGCAGCATGAAGCTTTTCCCATCAGATCATGTGGCTGCTGTGCAGGTCCGGGGCCTCTGTGATTCTGAAATCCACACTTTTCCCCTGATGAATGCTGTGCCGGAGCAGACTAATTGTACAGGAAATGGATGCGTTCCATTGCCCACAGGGGTTAGGGCTTAATGAAAAGTTCATATTCCCAGCACTAATACTCTCTTTTTTGAGGATCCACCCTAAGTAGATGATCCCAAGTACAGAACTAGAATTCTCTACCTTTTAAGTCATTGGAAGTAGTAAGTCCAACAACAAAAAATGATTCTGTCAACAAAGGGATGTTTACTTCATTTAATATTGTGCAACCTTCAAAAATGATGGTTATAAAGAGTAGGCAATGATTTGGCAAAATGCTTATCATGTAATAGTGAATAAAAAGATACGTGATATAAGCAGAGTTTTAACAGTGTAAGCTATGAACAGAGAGCAAAGACAGAGAAATAAACCAATGTCAAAAAGGTTGGGTGGATTATGGGTAATGATTTGTTGTATTTCTAGTCTTTTATAATCGTACAATGTTGAGAACTTTAAAACAATGATCTCTTTTAGAACAAAATGGAAATGATCCTCTTTACATGAAATTGTACAAAAAGATTCTGCTTGACTTTTCAGGAAAAACATTCCCTGGAGAGGTCACGGTAAATGTCGCAAACACACCTGACTTTGAAGATAAGAACTCTGCAGCGTATCAAAACTTACACGCCACTGTTACCGAGTTTGTAAGTATTCCCCTTCCTTCCTTTTGGAATCGACATCTTGTCCCACTGAGCTGCAGTGTGGTGCACCCTGGCTGGGAAGTACCAGGTGTTCACATAGTGAAATGCAGCCCTACAGTGTGGTAGACAATAGCTACCTTGAGCCCCCTGGACCCGGGTCTTCCCAAATGCCCAGCCTCCTTCCCTGGTACCCTGTACATTCCTGTGGGCTTGCACCTGGAGGCAGAGCTCCTGGCATGGCAGAGGGCCCTGTCATTCTTTGCCTCTCCCTGTGCCCATTGTTACATGTTATTTATATTTATTTATTTTTGACAGGCAGATTTAGACAGTGAGAGAGAGAGAGAGAGACAGAGAGAAAGGTCTTCCTTCCGTTGGTTCACCCCCCAAATGGCCGCTAAGGCCAGTGCACTGTGCCAATCAGAAGCCAGGAACCAGGTGCTTCTTCCTGGTCTCCCATGCGGGTGCAGGGCCCAAGGACTTGGGCCATCCTCCACTGCGTTCCCAGGCCACAGCAGAGAGCTGGACTGGAAGAGGAGCAGCTGGGACAGAATCCGGCGCCCCAACTGAGACTAGAACCCGATGTGCTGGTACCTCAGGCAGAGGATTAGCCAAGTGAGCTGCGGCACCGGCTGTTATTATTATTATTTTTTAAGATTATTAGAGATACAGGGAGAAAAGGAAAGAGAGAGAGGTCTTTCATTTGCTGGTTCACTCCTCAAATAGCCACCATGATCACAGCTGGGCCAGACCAGAGCCAAGAGCCAGGAGCTTCTGACAAGGGTGCAGGAGCCCATTGGTTGGGCCATCTTTCTGCTGCTTCCTCAGGTGCGTTAGCCGGGAGCTGGATCTGAAGTGGAGCAGCCAGAACTCGAACTGGCACCCATATAGGATGCTGGCCCCTATATAATGCTATTAACATGGTTTAAAATGGACAAGAAAGTTTAAGGATTTTTCTTTTAAAGATTTATCTGTTTGAGGCCAAACTTAAGAAGCTGTATCACCTTATTTTTAAGAACATGATCATGGGTGGGCTGAGCGTTTTAAGCTTCCTTCCTTTTCCTGGACAACTCTGACTTCTACCATCCAACTCCTAATATGTCCCGGCAGAGAGTACTGAAAAGCATTAGAATGCATGTGAAGAACGAATAATTTGTTGTAATATATCGTGTGTATTTAATAAATGAGGTTAGAAATTCATGCTGAAACCTAGAAAATCACCTTTAAAAAGTTTTTTTCAACGTGTTACGAAATCTTTTCTCCTCCACAGTTTCAAGATGTGTTCACCAATGCTGATTATGGACAGACTGTAATTCTGAAAGTAAGGTGAGTTGACTCGGGCTGGCGGGGTGCTTTGGAGGCCTGGCATGTTTGTCTAACTTCTGGGTCGCCTGAGGAACACCAAGCCCTGCTGTAGCATTCCCAAGTCCGGAAGAGGTGGCCGTTCTGAGCTTTGAGAGGGGACTGTGCGCCTGGGCCTGCCTCTGCTGGCACAAGCACTTCAGCCTGGCTGGGCAGGGTGTGGCCTGGGGATGGCCGGCTGCGGGCTGTGGTTGGCTACTCAGCAGCTCGTGCGTGTGGTCCAGCGTGGCGTCTGGGTCGGGGTTTTGGCTGATTCCTTGGCTGCGAACCACACTGCCGCCAACTCCTAGAATATATATATCGTGGGGCAAAAGGAAAAAGAAGGGCTCATAGCCATTCCTTGCCTCAGGGCAGGGAGTGAGGGAAAAAGAACACCCGCACCTGGCTGCCGCAGGCCAGGAGAGCTCCTGGTGCAGTCAAAACACCACTAATTGAGCTATTCTCCATGCAGTGACAAGCATGGGTGCTACTTAGGGACACAGAGGCTCCTCCTCCTCAGCCCTCTCTGAAGCAGGTTAACATGCAGGTTCTCCGCCTGAGGAAAGAACGCACTAGATGGGCGGAGGTGTAGCCTAAGGCAATATTTATGTTGTGAGTTTTGCCATGGCACATTAAGTCCTTTGTGGAGTAAGATTAGCTACATGCCTGCATAGTCAGCCTTCCACATCCATGGGTTCTGCAGCCATGGACTTAACAACCATGCATCAAAAAAAATTTTTTAAAAGCAACTATGTCTGTACTGAACACATGCGTGCAGACTTTTCCCCTTGTCATTATCTGCTAACGATACAGTGTAACGACTGTTCCCATAGCCTTCACGCTGCATCTGATATTGTAAGCAATCCAGGAGGACTGAGTAGGCTATATGCAAATACTGTGACACTTTATAAAGATGTTGAGATTTTGTTGGCCATGGGGGTTCTAGAACCAATCTCTCATGGATACCCAGGTATAGCTCTGTGTGTGTGTGTGTGTGTGTGTGCATGTGTGTTTGTAGCTGTATAAAATGTCATAGATGATGTCCTAGAGGTGGTGAGTTCCCAACTTGGTCTTGAATGAGGGGCAAGTCTGATTGGCAGCCAGGAGGTACCTGCATGGTGAGGGGTAGGCGGCAAGCAGCAGCCTGGCCCCAAGCTCAGAGGCTCCAGAGCTGGAGGGATGCAGCAGACAGTGGCTGGAGGACTGTGAGTGATTTCAAGGTTTTAGGTTTGGTTTCATGGACAGCAGCCAGTCGGTGCACAGGGGATACTGGACGGGAATAGAACAGCAGGTTGCGGAGAAGCCAGGCAAAGCCGTGCTTCAGTCCTGGCCTTGGCACCTCTTTGCTGTGTGGCCAAAGAGGAGCGCTAACCTCTCTGGACACTTGGTGCTCCGTCTGAGTAGTGGGGTGATCTGGCCAACTTCCTCGGAACCCATGAAGGAGCCAATGAGATCCTGTTTGTGAAATTCCCCAGGACATTGTGGACTTCAACGCCAGTCTGTTCCTTTCCAGATTCTGGGACCTGCAGAGTGATGGAGAGCTGGCTGTGGGGGTCCCCAAAACCGTGGTCTCCTTTTATTCTTAAAGAGTTCCTCCTAGAAGGGAGCCAAGGGTGTTTGCAGCAAACCGGTCCCTGTGTGCCCGGGGCAGGAAGGGGAAATGCCTCCCTAGCTCCGGGGCGGGGCCGCTGCAGGGCAGATGGGCTCGGCTCCCACCTAGCAGGACGCTTCCGAGGTTCCCGCCGAGCTTCTCTCCCTCCTCCTAGTCCCCAACTCTCTCCCTGCTGCACAAGTGCTGGAATTAGAAGGGTCCTCGGAATTTCTCTCTCCCGAACCTCTAATTGGGCAGAAGAGGAAAGTCAGGCTTGGAGAAACCGTGACTGGTCGTGGGCCACAAAAAGATAGGTAGAGATGATCAGTGTCTGGCTTGGGTCTCTCTGACGCCGACTCTAGCGTTGAGGTCATTTACACGCAAGTACACTGTGGCACCATCCTTTCCTTGCTTCCCAAAGTAGAGTGCAAGCTGGTGGTTTCTTTGACTGAGTGAAGGAATGCATTATGGATGGCATTTTATTTGGTAGCCCCAGTGCCAAATTGTCCTATAGAATTCTGGATATTTTTTTAACCAATATAGAAAAATATGTATTGTGTACCCTTTTCTCACTGCCTTATCCATTCCATTGCCACTCCCCAAACCCTAGCATGAATTAATTATGATAGAGAATTTTAAATGAAAATTCTAAAATCCCATTTCACTTTTCAGACTCCCTTTTGAGGTGATTGTTCCTAGGAATGGAGTTTGGTTCTTGTTTTGGATTTTCTTGATTGCTCTGAGGACCCAACATGGCTATAAGCATTTCTTTAATAGCCAGCTATATTTTCAAGCTTCTGTACCTCTTTTTTTTTTTTTTAAGATTTATTTATTTATTTGAAAGGCAGAGTTACAGAGAGAGAGGTAGAGACAGAGAAAGAGGTCTTCCATCTACTGGTTCACTCCCTAGATGGCCGTAATGGCCAGAGCTGAGCCGATCCGAAGCCAGGAGCTTCTTCTGGGTCTCCCTCACAGGTGCAGGGGCCCAAGCACTTGGACCATCTTCTACTGCTTTCCCAGGCCATAGCAGAGAGCTGGATGGGAAGAGGAGCAGCCGGGACTAGAACCAGTGCCCATATGGGATGCCGGCACTTCAGGCCAGGGCTTTAACCCACTGAGCCACAGCGCCGGTCCCTTCTATACTTCTTAAAAGATGCATTTATTTGTAAGGCAGAGTGACAGGAAGAGAGAGAAGAGAGATCTTCCATCTGCTAACTCAGTCCCCAGAGACCTTCCTGCAGCCCTGGCCTCCATATTTGGACCTCAGCTGTGGAGATGGGGCAGAGGGTCGGGGGCAGGACTAGAGCTGGGAGATCTGCTGAGTGACTGCTGGAATGTGTATCTGTTGACCCTTCAGTTCAGCTCATCAAGTGACACATTCATTTTTATTTTTAGCACATCCCCTTCTCTGTCAGCAAGATCTGAGGTGCGTGCTGGTAACGACGCTGTCCATGTGAAAGTAATAAACATTTTCTCTCAAAATTCAAGCGCAAATGCAAGTACTGTGTCCAATGCAATTGAAGCCGCAATTGCCAACTCAGATATCATTGCGACATATAGTGGTAAGTATTAAATTTTACTCAAGGGTTACCTAAACTACCTGCTTTTAAAAAACCTCCCAATTATATGGAAGGGAGCAATAACTGCAGAATTGAGTGGGCAGCTGTCTTCAGCTTTCCTTTTAGAGAATTTGTTCTTCTCTTTCCTTCCCCACCTGCCTTCTCCTCCTTTCCAGCCACCTTCCAAATCATCAAACTGATCAGTTTGTTCCTCTCTTGGAAAATGTAGATGATCAAACCAATCATTTCTGCACAAAGACGAGGAAAGGAGGGCTTTGCACCAAGTCACAGCTTTGCAAGTGATTATAGAAGGCTTCAGCTGTGCTGCCTGCTCTGCAGCCTGATGCACAAGCCTGCCTGTAGCTGCAACAATTGGTGTTTGCAGTCTTGCAAAGCATCCGGAAACCTAGTGGCCTAAAACCTCTACAGCTTATTTATTTCCACCTCATAATTCTGTAAGTTTGGACTGGGCTTAGCTGGTAAATTCTAGCAGCCTAGGCCAGGCTTGCCTGACTCCTGCTGGACTGGCTTAAGTGCTGCCCGCATCTGCTGGGTCCCTGGGGACAGCACAGCTGGATGGGTGGTCTCTGCCCCACCGAGTCTCCCCCTGCAGCAGACCAGCCTAAAGAGTTTCAGGGGCAGCAAGAGGGTGTGGTCCAGTGCACAAGGGCTTCTCAAGTCTCTGCTTAGGTTGTATTTACAAGTGTCCTGGAAGCTGCGGCGACTTGTGTGACGTAGCACGGGGTGGCTAGGCCCCACCAAAGACCATGGACCCAGAGACTCGTGAATACATTGATGCCATGACCTCCGTCAACCCTCCACCACCAGCATCAGATGCCACTCACCCCAGAGGTGACCAGCCTGTTCGGGTGGAGGTGTAGCACAGCTGGTATTCCATCCTGGTTGCCAAATCCGGAGGTCTCTGTTGAGCCACAGTTTATGAGGGCGCTTCCACTGCTTTCTCAGGCCATTAGCAGGGAGCTGGATCAGAAATGGAGCACCTGGACTTGAACCAGCAACCCTATGGGATGCTGGTGTTGCCGGTGGTGGCTTAATCTACTGTGCCCGACACCCACCTATCTTTAGCTACGTGGGGCACTGAATTTTCATTGTTTTTTGAGTCTGGACCACAAATCTTGTGCTGAATTGTGATTTGGTTGCTATAACTCTACAAAGAGAATACCCAAAAGTGATACAGTTTCTAAGTCACTTGTAATATAGCACAGAGACAGGTACAAGAGGGATCTTTTTTTTTTCTTTTCTTTTTTAAAGATTCATTTTATTTATTTGAAAGACAGAGTTAAAGAGAGAGGTAGACCCAGAGAGAGAGAGAGAGAAAGAGGTCTTCCACCCACTGTTTCATTCCCCAAATGACCGCAATGGCGGCCAGAGCTGAGCTGATCTGAAGCCAGGAGCCAGGAGCTTCTCCCAGGTTTCCCACGTGGGTGCAGGGGCCCAAGGACTTGGGCCATCTTCTGCTGCTTTCCCAGGCCATGGCAGAGAACTGGATCGGAAGTAGAACAGCCGGAACTCGAACTGGCGCCCATATGGGATGCCAACACTGCAGGCCAGGGCTTTAACCCAAGAGGGATCTTGAACTTGAATCTAATTGCACTGAATCAGCTGAATAAAGAAATAGTCATTGAAGAGAGGATTGGAGAACTTGATTTCAGAATCCCAGATTTTCTCTTTTTTTAAAAAAAAGGTTTTGTTTATTTGAGAGGTAGAGTTACAGACAAAGAGAGGGAGAGACGGAGAGAAAGATCTTCTATTTGCTGGTTCACTCCCCAAATGGCTGCAATGGCCATTGCTGCGCCAAGCTGAAGCCAGGAGCTTCTTCCAGGTCTCCCACACAGGTGCAGGGGCCCAAGCAATTGGGCCATCTTCTACTGCTTTCCTAGGCCATAGCAGAGAGCTGGATTGGAAGAGGAGCAGCCAGGACTAGAACTGGCGCCCATATGGGATGCCAGTGCCAAGGCAGAGACTTAGCCCACTATACCACAGTGCCCCCTTTCCCCATTCTCTTTTGTTAAAACACATATTGAAAGGCAGTAGAATAACAATGGAGCAGTTGCTTTCACAAATTACCTCATGCACATTGTCTTGCTGAATGCGTTCTTGAACTCTTTGTGCCTCACTTAGGGCAAGATCTCTGTGACTATTATGGCTGTGTAAAGCAAAATGATCAAGATGATTGCAGTGATGGCTTGTCATGTGTATGTAAAGATGGACTGGGCAGACCCAACCCTCTCGTGGGTTTTTGTCTTGGTAAGTGTTCCACCTGCTGCTGAATGTTCGTTAGAACTCCCACACCTTCTGCCTAAGTAAGATGCAAACTCTCCTGCTCCAGTTTCCACGAACTTGAGTGCTGTAGATCTTGGCTTAACCCGTACAATGGGGGGATCGGACCCTGACCGGGGCTGGGTAGACAACTTCAATGCAGGTGTCATTTGTGGAGCCAGTGAGCGCCACATTTCTCTTAGGGATAGCAATGTGACAAAAATGGCCTTCTGTCATGTGTCCCTTTGGGGTTGGAGAGGTTGTTTCTGAAAATGACTGAGCAATCACTCTGTTTTAAAGCGAAGTGTCCCGACGACTGCAATGCTGAGAACAATAAGCAATGCTTAATGACCCAGGAGGACCAGAGCCCCAGCTGCACCTGCCTGCCGGGCTACAAGGATGATGGCAGAGGGAGCTGTGAAAAGTAAGGATGCCACTCCGTGTTTGTCTCGCCCCGGCTGGAGCTTGCCACACATAGACAGGTTTAGAGTGAGGAGGTTGGTCGGCTGGCATGGGTCAGGAGGGGTAGCTCCTCCTCTCCCTCCTCTTCCGCACCACCTTTGACAGTCTGAGCAATCTCCAGGTCCCAGGAACACTATTAGGTAACACCTATCATGCAATGACACTATGGGGTGCCTATTAGCTCCCATGTTCCATTGAGGGAACAGGGTGGCAAACAAGTGGCAGAGCTGTGTGGCGTCACCCGCTGAGAAGGGTCCCGCTCGGCTCCACATCTCTTGGGTTCATCTTCGCCCTGAGCTGCCAGATCTTCCAGGAGCTCGGAGGCTGCAGTGTTCGGGCAGTGGCCAACGAGAGCTGTTGGGACCGTAAACCTTCCCAGCCTTCCAGAGCCACTGGAAGCTGCTCTCCTGGGACAACGGGAGTGTAAGGAGCACAGGAAACAGGAGCAGGAGCCAGGGAGGGCAGGAAGGAAGGGGGATGGAGACAGAAGGGAGGTGGGGCGGGAACTCGACCTGCCCCGTGCAGGGGCTCTGTGACACGACCTCCTGCTCGCTGTGTTTTAGGTGTGCATTTGGCTACAGCGGAGTGGACTGCAAGGACCGTGAGTATCAAAGTCTTGTTTTATAAACAAGTTGTGAAACATGGGAGAATGTTAAACAGTGGCCACACTGAAAATCCTGTCTAGTTTCCACCCCTACCCCCTACCCTCACCCAAAGTCTCTGTCTTCCATCATAAAGACAGAACATGTACTTGCGATTTGTCTTCTGGGTCAGGCCATCTCATGCCCATAGCAGCAGCAGCTCTGGCATCAAACACAACGAAACTCAGCCCAAGGAATGGGCCGGGTGCCCTAACATTGATTTTCTACATTGGCTGAAATATGCATTCCCTGCTACTAGAAAGTATAAAAGCCCAGTTCATTCCAGAAGTTAGATGATTATGGGAGAGCAGATGTAGAAACCGGACATTTAAATACAAGAGTACTTCAAAAGTTTCCTGGAAAAATTGAATGAAAAAATAAGCTTATTTTGGTGAAAAAAATTTCTAAATTTATACATAGCTTATCCATAATACACATATTCCATGAATTTTGAAGACCCTACATGAGCATGAATTTCAAAGTTTTTTGCACCAAAATAAGCATATATTCTAATTCCATTTTTTATGAACTTTTTGAAATTTCCCTCATACTAAAATCTAAGAGCCGTTTCCTGGTTTAGGATGTGTTGTTGCAAATTTAGGTTCTTTGTCCCATCCCATATCCCATCCACACCAGACTGGGATAATATTAACTTTAAATTGTAGATAATTCTATATTTTAAAAATCTATATAGTAAACTAAAAGGAAGCAATACAGTCAGCCTCTGGCCACCCAGACAGTAAGGAGAGACGCTCGTGGTTTCCGCTGTGACTTGTTGCGAGGATGGAGCTGCTGAGTTTCCACACCTGTAAAACGAGAGGTCGGGACCAGATGACCTCGCAAGTGCTTCCCGGACCTAATGGACTGTGGTCTCCTGCACCCAGGTTGGAGGAGGCATTTGTGGCGTTCTCATCCACAGCAGTGTTGTGCAATGGAAGACTAGTGTGAGCTGTGTGGTCCATGGTACATTTTAGAAAAGCAAATTCTAAAAGTAAAAAGAAATAGGAACCTTGACTTTAATAACATTTTATTTAACCCAATGCATCCAAAATGTCATTTCCACAGGTAAAATTCGATAGAAGAATTGTTACTGAGCTAGGTCACTTTGTTCTTCCTCCCGGGTGTTTGGAATTCCGTGTGTGGGTCACACTGACGGGCACCTCAGAGCTACATGTCAGTGTCAGCAGTGCTGGGCGGGGCAGAGTGGGTCTCCACATCCTTAGAGACAAAGTGAGCGGCAGCCTGGCTCCTCTAGTTTATCAGGAAGGTAAGACGTGGAAGGCAGTCAAGGCAGCTGAGGTCCTTGGCGGAGATCCCAGTCCTCACATAGCCAAGACAGACCCTGCTGCGTAGCCCCACCCCGCCCCCTGGTCGGCGTCTTTTATCTGAGGCTGCCACTTCTCACTGACATCTAGAGACTCAGTTAGTAGTAGACCCTGGTACCTCGCCTGGCCCCAGAGGGAGCAGCGGCCAGAGCTGATCATCCTGAGAGCCAGGAGTCACTGGGGACGCACGCACCTGTGCACTAGAGCCATTCCGACTCTTTTCTCTCCTAGCGTTTCAGCTGGTTCTCACTATCGTGGGCACCATCGCCGCTGTCCTCATCCTCAGCCTGGTGGTCGCGGTGATCTGCTGCACAAGGTACGCAGTGGGAAAAGGGGCCCCTTCCTGGGGCACAGCACGGCCAGCAAGATGCTTTAGTTTCCAGATGCACCCAGCCACTCCTGGACAGGACTGGGGACATAGAGGAGGCCCCTTTAGTAACGTTACATTGATGTTTTTTCTTGCATTCCTTGTCTTGTGATTATATGAGCTGGACACAGTGGTGGACAAAATGGAGAGATGTGGAATGATAAAGAATGTGAAATCACCTACAAAACTTACCATGTTGAAGCAACTAACACTTTTGGCATATATGAGGGTGCTTCAAAAAACTCATGGAAAAATAGAGTTAAAACATAAACGTATTTGGGACTGGCACTGTGGCTCACTTGGTTAATCCTCTCCCTGTGGCGCCAGCATCCCATATGGGTGCGGGTTCTAGTCTCAGTTGCTCCTCTTCCAGTCCAGCTATCTGCTGTGGCCCAGGAGGGCAGCGGAGGATGTCCCAAATGCTTGGGCCCCTGCACCCACATGGGAGACCAGGAAGAAGCTCCTGACTCCTGGCTTTGGATCGGTGCAGCTCCAGCTGTTGCAGCCATTTGGGGAGTGAACCAGCGGACGGAAGACCTCTCTCTGTCTCTCTCTCTCACTGTCTATAACTCTACCTGTCAAATTAAAAAAAAAAAGTATTTTGGTGCAAAAATAGTTTGAAATCCCGTGTCTGATTATGCCACAATACGGATTTCCCACAAACTTTGTGAAGACCCCAGGTTTGCATGGATTTCAAACATTTTTCCACCAAAACTAACACCTTTTAATTCAGTTTTCAGGAACATATCGTCCCAGATTATTTTCTGGCTCTTTGAATGATAGTATAGACATAACGTGTGTGTCCTTGTCTTAAACGCTTGTGCCGACATTCACCTTTGCTGAGCTCTGCTGTGTGACTGCTGCTGGCTTCTGGTTGCAAACGCCTGGTTGGCAGTGTTGAACTCCACTGGCTCCGTCAAACATAATCTCCTCCAGCTACTTGTCTGCCTGCGCTGCTGCTACAAGAGGTCTAAAACCAACCTCTAGATTAAAAAAAAATTTTTTTAAGATTTATTTATTTATTTGAAAGAATTACAGATAGAGGGGGAGAGAGAGATCTTCCATCCACTGGTTTACTTCCCAGATGGCCTTAACGGCCGGGGCTGAGGCAGGCTGAAGCCAGGAGCTTCATCTGGGTCTCCTACACGGGTGGCAGGGGCCCAAGCACTTGTACCATCTTCCACTGCTTTCCCAGCCAGGAGCAGGGAGCTGCATCGGAAGTGGAGCATCTGGGATTAGAACCAGTACGCATATGGGAAGCCAGAGTTGCAGGCGGTGGTTTTACCTACTATGCCACAATACCACCCCTAAAACATGGCTATTTCTTGGCTGGGTGCTTTAAGTTCTCCTCTCTTAAGGGAGGAAGACTTTTATTTTTTCATCAGATATTAGATGTGTCAGAGTGCTTCCCATTACCAGGGACAGGAATGCTGGCATCTCTTTTCCATTCTACAGGTGCCAATGGGGTTCCACTTCGATAAAAACAAGCTGCTTTTCCTTTTGTTTTCTTTCTTTTTGAAAGTGTTTTCTTTCTTTCTATTTTTAAAGATTTATCTTATTTATTTGAAAGAGTTACAGAGAGAGATAGAAATAGTGAGAAACAGTAAGAGAGGTCTTCCATCCACTGGTTCACTCCCCAAATGGCCACAATGGTCAGAGCTGAGCCACTCCAAAGCCAGGAGCCAGGAACTTCTCTGGGTCTCCCTCGTGAGTGCAGGGGCCCAAGGACTTGGGCCATCCTCTGCTGCTTTCCAAGGAGTATTAGCAGGGAGCTGGATCAGAAGTGGAGCAGTCAGGACTCAAACCGGAGCCCATATGGGATGCTGGCACTGCAGGCCAAGGCTTTAACCTGCTATGCCACAGCGCTGGCCCCTTTTCTTTTCTTTTTCTCCCACCCTCCCTTTCTTCCTTCCTTTCCGCAGACACAGAGAGAAAAAGATCATCCAACTGCTAGTTCACTCCCAAAATGACCACAATGTCTGGGACTAGCCATGCCAAAGCCAGGAGCCTGGAATTCCATCCAGATCTCCCATGTTGGTGCAAGGCCCAAGCGCCTGGACCATCTTTTGCTGCTTTCCCAGGCACATTAGTGGGAAGCTGGATCAGAAGTGGAGCAGCTAGGACTCAAACCAGTGCCCATGTGAGATGCCGGCATTGCAGGCGGTTGAGGTGGTAGCTTACTCTGCTGTGCCCAAATGCCAGCCCCAACAAGCTGCTCTTTCTAACATTTAGCTCATGCCTTATCTTTTGGCAAAATGGGTATTTTCTCTCTATAATGTGAGAAGATAAACAGATTTTCAGCTCCTAAACTATTTTGCTTAGTCTTCTTTTTTTCCTTTTACTGCATTTTCATCCTAACTTTGTCCCCAGACTTAATTGTGAGGAAGCAAAGGCAAGAAATGGGTGTGTGAGCACCCTTGGCCCCTGATTTCCCACGTTCTGGGACGGAGAGCCGGAACGTGCCTGGCCGTGGAGCAGGGCTGTGCCCTCTGCTCTCGGGGGGACTGGCTCGTGGTCCCGGGACTTCAGGGGCCTCAGGCGTTGCTGTGGGATCTTGAGCCAGGTCTGCCCTTAGCCCAGCCCAGTTTGGGACTCTGGGAATAAATGAGGAATTTTAATTTTCTCGCCCAGGTCAAAGGGTAAGGAAGTCTCTCCTCAATGACCTTGGGCAAGAGTGCTGTCATGGGCTGTACTGGCCATCAGGGTCACAGCATGAGTGACAGCCCCAGTGTGACTCAGGCACAGTAACTGGCACCCTGGGGCTGGCCCCACCCCCACAGCCACCACCCAGGACCTTGTCTGGGGCCAGGCAACATCAGCAGCAGACCTCCCTGGGGAGACGCGTCCCTCCCTCTCTTGTCTGTAGCACTTCCCCCTTGGCTATGAATAGGCTCGGGACCCTGGCGGGGGCACAGCAAAGCCCGGGAACCCTGTTTCTTCTTCCAAGGCCTTTGTGCCCTGGACTCATTTTACACACGGGGGTGCTTCTGTAGACATTGACTTGGCACGAGTGAAAAACTGCATCATCAATCATCTTTCTCCCTGACTTCTGTTGTCTCTCATAAAAAAAATTCAAAAGCACACCTGAGAATACAACACTGGGGCAGGCGTTTGGGTAGTGGTTAAGATGGCATGGGACACCCAGTGCAAGTCCCAGCTCCACTCCCTCTCCGGCTTCCTACTAGTGCACACCCTGAGAGGCAGCAGGTGAGGGCTCAAATATTTGATCCCTGCCGGCTTCATGGGAGACCCAGGCAGACTTCCTGGCTCTTGGCTTCAGCCTGGCCTTGCCCCAGCAGTTGCAAGCATTTAGGAAGTAAGTGAGTCGATGGGTGATCTCAATCTCTGCCTTTCAAATAAAATGAAAATCAATTTTTTAAAAGAACATCAAAAAATGAATAAAAAGAATGCAATACTAACATTACTAGCAAAAGTTCAGCGAGGCTGTGGGATGGATGGTAACGCTGGGTCAGCATTCATATCCTGGTCCTGTGGTCGCACAGAGCTTATGAGGAGACTGTCCTGAAATTCAGGGCAACTACCCTGCGTGGCATCATGACGTATTATGGGTAATGGCGCATCAATCTGCAACTTCTGCTTAACTGGTTTGGACTCTGTGTGATGGGTTCGTGGGAGCTCTGTGTGTAATGTTTTTTGTTAACTTACCTGTAAATTTGAAATGGCTTACATTTGAAAACATTTTTAAAAAGAACATGAACATTTGTATCGGGGAAAATGGGTGTCGCTGTCAGATCCTAATTCCTGTTCCTGGTTACAGATCCAAGAACAAAAGGAAGAACATAGAAGAGCAGAATCTGATTGACAACGACTTTCAGAGCCTGAAGCTGCAGCAGACGGGGTTCATCAACATGGGTGCTGATGGGAGTCTGTTCCCCAAAGCCAGGACAGGGCCCCCCCGCAGCGTTCAGCCACAAAACCCCTACGCAAACCAGAGGGGCCTACCCTTCCCCGACTACTAGGTGAGCCATGGGCCTGTCCCAGAAGCCCTGTGCAGACCCGAGAGGTTACCCTGCTCGAACTACCGTGGGCCTCCAGTTAGCTCTTCAGGGTGGGCTGGGGACCTCAGCTCCTGTAGCTTCTCCAGGCTGCATAGGCGTCTTTGCTTTTTAAACAAAAGAGAAAGATGAAGGAGGAGGGTGAGAGAGGTCTTCCATCCGCAGGTTTGCTCCCCAAATGGCCACAATGGCTGGGACAGGGCCAGGCCAAAGCCAGGAACCAGGAACTTCTTCTGGGCCTCCCACGTGGGTGCAGGGGCTCAAGCACTTGGGTCATCCTCTGCTGCTTTCCCAGGCCATCAGCAGGACGCTGGGTCAGAAGTGGAGCAGCTGGGACTTAAACCGGTGCCCATATGGGGTGCCTGCGTGCGCTGAAGGTCAGGGCTTTAACCCGCGGTTCCATGGTGCCGGCCCCCAGGGTGACTTTAGACGCATCACTTCCTCTCCCTGGCCTTCTGCTCCCTGTCTGCAGAAAGATCAGCTTGCTTTATGTGCCCTTAAGGTTCCTTAAATTGCAGTCCTCTAGGAATAGGACCCCAGTGACTGTGATGACCATTCCCAGGCTGTTTAAGGGGCCAGGCCCAAGGAAGGATGCAGAATGTGACCAGGTCTCTGTGGCCTCCTTCCCAGTGGGGCTGCGTAAAGGCACAGCCAGACTGCAGGGTAACTCGGCCAGTTTCTCAAGAGATAAAGCAAGTGAGGCTGGTAACGCTTTATTTCACTCCGAGGACTTTCAGGGGAAAAAGCTTCCACTCAGCAGGTTCTTACTGGATCATGTAGGCCGGTGTTGAGAAGAGGGAGCCGGTGAGAGGTGGCTGAAGGAGAGGCCAGGGGAGAAAGTGGCCAGGTCAGAAACAGCAGAGAGGCCAGGCAAGGGAGAGTAAGGGGGAAAGCCGAAGAAAGCACATTGTGTTAACTAAGTAATGTTAGTAACTTAGGGATCTAAGTTTTCTCATAGGTTTCTGTTGGAATATTTCTTTTCTAACAGTCTTCTCGCTCGCTCGCTCTCTCTGTCTAGAACAGTAGAACTTTGGAGTCGTCCATGTACCTGGCCCAGTGCCTGAGCTGCTGTTTGGTGGAGAGGCGAGACCTGGTGAATCGTGGCCTGCAGGATCTCTCTCCCACCCCGTCCGCCAGCCTCTCTGAATGGAAGTTGTGAGCGCTAGGAGTATGGCTTGCTTCCTGAATAAGAATATGCAGAATTAAAGGCACATGGACACTCTCAGCACTTGTGAGGTCGCTGCTTTTCTCCAGTCTGTGTGGACTCCTGAGACAGTGCTTTGGTCTTTCCTCCTACTGGGCTGCGGTAACCATGTCCCGTCCAGAGGACAGGCCTTGGTGTGGGTCACTCCTGGGAGGAGCCTGTGCCTGACCCACATTGATAGCCCACGGGTGAGCGGCCCAGAGTGCCGCGGGGACAAGAATTGCCATCTTCTTCCATGGCTCACTGTGATAAGGTAAGGTAGGGCTCCTACGTCTAGCCCTCCGGTCAAGGGATTTTGGCTACCCTGATACTGCCAGGAGCTTGCAACCTAGCCTCACCCTAGAGACAGCCTTTGCAGGAGCACCGACTGGACGGCCAGGAACTTTTTGATGTTAATTAGGCATCTGGTACTAGATAGGCTTAAAGTGCTGGTCCATGGGAGGGGCAGGATGAGGAGGGGGGCAGCCGCCGGGGTCCACCTCCTCCCCTGCGTTGACCCTTCTCCCAGGAGCGGGCAGGCCTTTCTTCTGATTCATGCCCTCCTCAGGACTCGGGGCCTGGGAGAAGCTGTGCAAGCAGGAACTCCAGCCAGGAGCTCCTTCGGCACCTTTGACGTTGCTGATGTTCCCTTTGGCCGAGGGTGGGAGAGGGAGTGAGTGCCGGGTGTGGGGAGGAAGGAGAAGGGAGGTGTCCCGGTGTCCAAGCTCAGCAGGCTGCTTCCAGAGGGGCGTCACTGGGGCCCAGCCTCCCCTGGAGACAGAGGCTTCATTGTAACTCCCCCACCACACCCACCCAAGAGTGGGGGCAGCCACGCCCAGCACAGGCTTTATAAAATGTTATTAGTGTCCTTGTTTACGCCTAATGTCTGGTCCCTGTGCAAGATATTTTTATTCATTGCTATTGTTATGTGTTCTTGGATATGAATGCAATAAAATGTCTTTGATAGATGGTGTCCTTTCTCATGTTGGGAGCTTTTGGTAGCGCACATAGCAGTGAGTCTTATTTCAGTTAGCACATGACATGCGACACACCCAAGTGACTGGCATCTGCTGTCCTCGTGGGGGGCTGCTGGATCACCCACAATGGTAGGCACCTCTTCCCTCCCGCTACTCATGTCCCCCTCCTCCTGTGTAATGGTTAACTTTGGGTGTGAACTTGACAAGATTCAGGAATGCGTGGAAACCTGAAAAAACGCTCTATTGGGTATATCTGTGACGGTGTGTCCAAGCAAGGTTAGTGTGTGCACCTGAGTGGGTGGGCGGGGCAGGGCGAGCCCTGCCTTCCAATTAGCTGGGGGCCTGCAGAGAATGAATAGGGAAGGTGAATTGGTCCCCCGCTCTGAGAGCTGGGATGTGTCTGATGGCTGTGTTGGACGTTGGGACTCCGGAGCTGGTCTTTGGCTCAGGCCAGCAGCTGCCCGCCTGGGCTTCTTTGCTTCTGAGGCGTTTGGACTTGGCCTGGAAGTCGCTCTGCCAGCATCCCCAGGTGTCTGATGTGCACACGGCTCACTGTGGGACTTCTGCCATAAGCACATTGACAACCCCCTCCCCCTTCGTCTATCTGTAGGCATCGCCTATCCATTGTGTCTTTCTGTGGGACTCTGGCCAACACCTCTCCTAGGAAGCAGCTAAGCATTTTGGATGAGACTGATCCAACTCCTAGTTTCCAAGGTTGGCTTGGGTTGGCCCACGCTGGTCAGTGCACTCCCATCTGCCCTTGCAGCCCTGAGTGACTTAAGGTGATGCACGTGAACTAAGTGGCTACAATAAAAATAAAGCCCACACTTTGGTAGGAGGCTTGAGGGAAGAAAGTCTCCTGGAAAGATCTTGGGGATGCTATGCCCTTGAATTGCTTCAGTTTTCCTGAGGACAGAGCTGACACGTGGAGGAAGGCAGAGCCGAGTCAATCCCAGAGTTACAGAGCTGGAGCCTCCATCAGATCCGCCCAGAAGCCTCTGGACTTGCCTTTGCTGTTTGTTCCCTGTTATTTGCAGCTGAAATCACCCACACTGAGGCTGTTCATGCCTACACTTGTGTTCTCAAGGCCAGGAGGTAAATGGTAGAAAAGAAACACACTTTTGTGAGCTATTTATGCCGACAGGAAAGACAACAGCTGTCAACTGATTAGTGAACGGCTGCAGAGTTCCATTCCCACTGTACCTCGTTTCTGCCCTGCATGCTACTGCCTTCTACTTACAGATGGTGTGGATTCCGTACTAGCAGTGGGCTATTTGAACCGTGTTTCCATGGAGCCCCACAGCCATGGTGCCCCTCTGAGCCTCAGCATTCCAGCTCCTATCGAAAGTCCTGAGCCATTCTTCAGAGACTTCCATTGCTATTGGTAGGATAACAGGACGTCTCCTAAACATGTTCTTGTGAGATATTGAAGGAAAGGGCTGTTGCATTCAAAGCTGCTCTGGAGTTTCCTGTAATATGGCCTGGGACCCGTTCGTTTCTGTTTGTTGATACCTATGCAAATATTTTTTTTTAAAAAAGATTTATTCATTGTTATTTGAAAGGCAGAGTGACAGAGAGAGGGAGAGACATACTGAGAGAGATATTCCACTAGCTGGTTTACTCCCCAAATGGCTATAATGATTGGGGCTGAACCAGGCCAAACCCAGGAACCAAGGTCTCCCACTTGGGTGGCAGGGACCCAAGTACTTGGGCCATCGTCTGCTGTTTTTCCAGGTGCATTAGCAGGGAGCTGGATTGAATGTGGAGAAGCTGAGACTTGAACCAGCAGGATGCCGGTGGTGGGTAGCTGTGCAAAGATTTTCTAGCCGACTGTCCAGGAACCTCTGGAGGGCTGTCAGGGTGAACTTAAAAGACGAAATCTGATCATGGGACTCCCTTGTTGAAATGCTCTAAGGGGTTCTCCCCTGAAAGAATGGGGCTTATATTCTGAAGCCAGATTCCTTGATACGTAATCATCCCTGCTCACATGGCTGCTGCCTCCTGCCCCTACTAACACGCTGGCCAGACCTGCTGTTCCCCAAGCACCACCACCTCTATGTCTCCCTCCACGTGGACCACGCCTTTCCCTCAGCTGCCATTGCTGCGGTCAGCACGGGCGGCACCCACAAACCACTGTGGCTTTGGGGGCCTCCAGACAGCAGAAGTTGACTTCTTGCAGTTCTGGAGGCCGTGGGGGCCAAGGTCAGGCTGCAACAAGTCTGGTGTCTAGCGAAGACCCATTCCTGTCCATGCAGTCACGCAGGTTGGAGGGGTACGGGGTCTCTCAGGGCCTCTGTTTTAAGGGTACGAATCTCACCCCCGAGGGCTCCGTACTCATGTCCCCCAAGGCCCCGCCTCCCACACCATCACAGTGGTATTATGGTGAAACCTGGGGCCCCCCACACGTTTAGACCACAGCACCTCATAAACGCCTCCGTCTGTCTAGGTCAGCTGGACCGTCACCTCCTCCGGCCAGCCTTCCCGAATCCCTCTCCTCTCCCCCCAGCGCTCTGAGCAGAAGTGCCAGCGGGGTCCTGTCACAGGTTCCCTGGAGAAGAGCCTGCTCCTCTTCACCTAGCACAGGGCTGGCGTAGAATGAGTATTAAGTGAATGAGAAACGGGGATGTGAAACAGGCCTGTTCAGCTCATCTGTGGAGGATCCACTCATTGCCTGTTGTGTGACAATGGTCTCATCGGTGTACACAGACACCAGAACTTGTCGAATGGTACACTGTGCACAGGTACTGCTCATCGCGTGTCAATTATATCTCAGTAAAGCTGGGTTTTTCAAAGGAAGTGGACTCTCCTACAGGGGCTCCTCCAACCCTGGGGGCTACCCCTTCTAGGCGCAAGCTAGCATAGGACAGAAGCCTGTAGTGTCATCCTGCTGGCTCTCCACAGACAGAATCCTCGGGCCCGCTGTGGGTGAAGCCAGCTGGGGATGGGGTGCTGCCCTGACTGCAGCAAAGCTCAGTTGCCCATTGGGGTTGTGCAAGGCTGGCTGGCCCCTGTCCCAGAACACTTCATGGGTGTTGGACAGGCCTGAGCCTGGGGCTTCAGCTTTGCAGCAATGCTAGTGCTCTAGGTCAGTGGTCAAATTTCAGGTCACGTCATTTTTCCACACTTCCCCGAATTTAGAAACCAACAGTCCACTGGGCACGGGATGATTCAATGTCTTCTAACCCTCCCTATGGAGAAGTGCTCAGGCGTCCATGTAGCATCAACACTAAACCTCTTAGGACTTAAATCTTTGGGGTAGCTCTGCCCCTGAATCCTCCTACTCTGGTCCGCTCCTAGCTACTGGGCAATGTATGCAACCAGTAGGTGGCGCTATATCCTTCTGCTTGCAGGAAACTCAACTTTTGGTGGGGCTGCTCTTTCAGCAGACCTGCTGGGAATTTGTAACTTTCAATGCACTCATTCTGAATAATTTTCCCTATTGACATTCCTCCAGTCACTTCAGTTCTTGCTCTGTGCCAGAAAGACATGCATGTCAGCTCACTCTTGTGGAAATATTTGCATCATTTTCCTGGAGCCCACACATTGTCCCCTTTACTGCAGGAATGTTAATGTTTTGTTAATGGTACCTAAGTATTTGGCATAATTTTTATTTAATGGTTGATTTTACAGAATGAAAAAGGAGCTGAATCCATTTCCACTGAAAAATTCTTCAGTTAAGATGGAAACAAAATGCCACCGGTGAGAGGTTTCTGCTTTTCATCACTTTTTATGAGGTGAGCAAGGTCTGTGGGGGTCTTTTCCCCAAGCACTCTCTGATAGTTTGGGTTCGTCATTAACTGACAACCGAAGGTGCCAAAGCGAGGATAGAGAATGAGGTTGGGGAGAGCCTGGAGCGGGTGTGGGGGTCTTCTCCACATCCCAAGACAGAAGCCTGGGGCAAACCATCAAAGGCCTCCTCATGCCTGCAGGCCTGCTGACATATTTTCTGAGCCCACGATTATGACACGTGGGCCAGTAATGAATGGAATCCTCCGCTGCCTCCAGACGAGCGGGTGGGCCTGGAAAACGACCAGAGGCATAGGCAGGATGTTAGGAAGCACTTGGAACGCCGCCCGCCCTCTGCATCTCACAGTGGCTGTGAGGCAGGTCCTGTCATTTGCCCTGTTCACTAGTGGGGGCAGGGCAGGGACGGAGCTCGCTCAAAGCCACTTGCTAGGAAGTGGCACAGCCGGGATTCGAGCCCAGCGATCTCCCTCTCCCTCTCTGTTGTTTCACACAGGCCCGTCAACCCTGGCAGGCTACTTCAATGGGCGGTAGGGACTGAGACACATGTCTGAAACTGAGTGTGTCCCATAATGACCAAGGGGAAGCGGAGTTGATCATCCTGGAGCTCACAGGCCTTTATGAGCAAAGTCAGGCATTTTTTCTTTCTTTCTTTACATCGTGTTCAAGGGTAAAGGATTCTCCCCACTAAAGCAATTCGCCTGCAGCACCTGGGCTGCTTGTTCCTGCTCCAAGCCTGGCTTCCCTCCCTGCCTGGGGCCCCCCACTTTCCTCTCTCAGGGCTGTGCTGTCCTGCCCTTAGGTGGTGATTGCAAGAATCTTTGAAGTGTCTTTCCTTTTGGAGGGAGTCATAACTTCCTGAAATCTCCAAGCCAAAAACGAGTCCCCCTGGGCTGGCATTGAATGCGCTACTGATTGTCCATGCTACCTTCATCAGCCAGTGTCCTCGCTGTCACTGGGCTTCCTAGGGCAAACCCTGTGCCCCACTCTCTGCTATGCATAGAGAAGCTTCTCAACAAGCAAGGCAACAGAATTAGGGCCAAGCATGTTAGCCAGCAGAGTCTTTGCCATTTTCTTAGGAGAATTAACTTATACAGGGCACTCTCAATGGTCCATAGGTCTCATTTTGTAATTGAGCATCTGCCACTTTTACCTAATTCTTTTCATTTTCCATTAGTATCTGAAGTCTCAGATTTTAAAGACTCTGTCAATATAGACATTTGGATGGTGGACCCCACCTGAATA